TTTACTGCACTGGAAGGTGCAAATGGGAAGTTTAATTGGTATGCTTAAAACACTTCTTGTGCATTACAAATTTTTAAAATGTGATTATAGGGTTAACTTGCTTTTTTTCTAAAACTCAAGGTTAGTATTGTTCTATAGGCAGCCAGTCAGATTTTAAGATGTAACAATCTGAGAAAAAAAAGGGACATTTTAAGATTTTAACAACTGAAGTTTGTTATAGAAGGTTAATAGTAAATGAGACAAAGGAAAATATTAGGAAAGCTATGGGTTAAGAGATATACTTTTGATATGAAAGGATATCGTATGTGTGTCCTGTTAGAAAGATATAAAGAAAGATACAAAAGACCAGAAGGCCTAAGTATGTAGAGAAGGTGTGTGGAAATGATTCAACAAGAATATATGCATGCTTGCTTATTGGTTTCAAATTTGTTATAAAAGGTTTACAAGTAATTCATTAATTTTTACAACCCAGTTTTATAAGTCAAAATCTTTTCAAGATAATTTAATATAAACTCTTAGGTCTAGATAGACTCCTGTTAATGATAAAAAGGACAGCTGCTCAAAAAAAAAAAAAATTAACTTACCATAATCTCCTTGTCATCCTTACCAATGTTTTAACCCCTGAAGAAAGCAAAAGAGTGCTGGACCAGGCCCGCACCCATGCAGATCAAAAACATTTGACAAATAACCACCATCCAGTAGGTGCTGCAGCCATGCCAGAGTGTGATCCAGATTGGGATTACAACTCCGAGACAGGTATCGAGGCCCAGGACAGGTACATTAATTGTTTGCTCCATGGGCTATGCAAAGCTACCACGAAGTCTGTAAATTATGATAAGATTAATGAAATCATACAGGACAGAAATGAAAATCCTTCTGCCTTCTTACAAAGGCTGGACTGATGGCCTTCATCAATATACCAAACTGGACCCTGAGCCTACTGATGGCCAGCAGATGGTCATGATGCATTTTTTCTCTCAAAGCTACTCTGACATTAGACTTAAATTAAAAAAGCTTGAGAAGGGACCCCTAACTCCTCCTTCCAAGGTTCTGACCATGGCATTTAAGGCCTATCACGGCCGTGATCTTAAAACCACAAAAAAGAAAAACAACCCATAAACAGGTAAATTCCTCAATAGCCACTCCCTTTGCCCATCTCAAATCCTGCCTATTAGAGTCTCCTGCCTTACACCTACCTGATCTTTCTCGTCCCTTTTACCTCTATGTGTCAAAAAAGTACCTAGCATATGCCATCAATCCTACCATGCCACAATGGCTTCATAACAAGGGACCCTTAAATAAGGGACCCTCTCACCCATTGAGACCTTGCTTCCGTTGTGATCAGGAGGGTCACTGGGCCAAAGAGTGCCCAAACCCCAAGCCTCCCACAAAACCCTGCCCTAAGTGCAAACAGAGGGAACATGGGACTGCGCCCTGACGTCCACCCGTCGTCGGGCCGCCAACCCCACCATTCCCCCAAATGACTTCATCGGTCTCACAATGGCAGAGGATCAATGAAGAGGCCCTGGCCTATCTGGCCCAATGTAGATTACCACTCAGGAGCCAAGTGTGACTGTCATCATGGCAGGTAGGATGATCGCCTTTTTACTCAATACTGGTGCCAGTTTTTCTGCACTTCGAGAATATTGGGGGCTCACCTCCCTGTCTCAGACCTCTATTGTTGGGGTAGAAGGCCAAAGGCAATGCCCTCAACAGACTCCTCTCCTGTCATGTGCAAATGGTGATTTTTCATTTCTTCACTCCTTCCTAGTCCTCCCTTCATGTCCTGTTCCCTTATTGGGTCACAACATCCTATCCAAAATTGACACTTCCATCCATTTCACATACGGGACCCCTTCAGCACTCCAATGTCTTCCCCTTGCCTTTTGTTGTCACAGGCTATCAAACCCCAGACTCCATCATCCAAATGGCCTAATGATCCTACCATAGTAAATCCCGGGTGTGGGACATTCAAATCCCCCTCAGTGGCCAAATGCCCTCCAGTGAAGATTTTCCTTAAAAACCCTACATATTTTCCAACTCAGGATCAATACCCCCTCCCTCATTCTAGCTTAGACAGACTGGCTCCAATCATCAAAAGTTTATTAGAAAAAGAATTTTTGTGGCCTGCCAATTTCCCATACAATACACCCATCTTAGCAGTCAGAAAGTCTAACGGAACATATCGGCTAGTTCAGGATCTCCAGATCATTAATGCAGCTGTGGTTCCAATACACTCTGTTATCCCCAATCCATACAGGCTCCTGTCTTCTATCCCATCCAATACTACCAATTTTTCAGTCCTAGATTTAAAAAATGCCTTCTTCTCCATTCCTTTACACGCAGATTCCCAAGATCTTTTTGCCTTTACTTGGACTAATCCTTTGACTGGTGTTTCCACATAACTAACCTAGACTGTCTTACCCCAAGGGTTTCGAGATAGCCCCCATCTGTTTGGCCAAATCCTAGCTCACTATCTGTCTCTCCTCCAGCTTCAAAGTTCATGATATATCCGATATGCAGATGATCTTCTCTGTGACCCTTCATTAACTATACTTCAACAAGATACTTATATGCTTTTAAAAAAGGGATACCGAGTCTCACCAACCAAAGTTCAACTCCTTAAACAACAGGTCATATACTTAAGAGTGTCTCTATCACCTGGCTTCAAATCTATTACTGTTTATAGAAAATGGGTCCTTCGAGACATTCCAACACCCTCCACTAAACAAGAACTTCTCTCCTTCCTGGATTTGGCAGGACACCTCAGGTCTTGGATCCCAAATTATTCCCTTCTAGCAGCCCCCCTCTATGAGGCCTCTAAGAAAAACCCCCATAAACAAGTAAATTCAATAGCCACTCCATTTGTCCATCTCAAATCCTGCCTGTTAGAGGCTGCTGCTTTACATCTACCTGGTCTTTCTCATTCCTTTCACCTCTATGGGTCAGAAAACAAGAGATTTGCATTAGGGGTTCTAGGCCATCAAATGGGACCCACTTTTGCTCCAGTGGCTTACTTGTCCAGAAGGTTGGATCCCACTGTCAGAGGTTAGGCCCCCTGCCTACAAGGCCTAGCTGCCACATCCCTCCTAGTTCAGAAATCAAAAAGCTCACATTCGGGTCTCCAACTATAGTTCTCTCATCATTCCATTTCAGATCTGTTAAACTTAAGTCCCTTCCAGGATGGTTCCATTACTCTCGTGTTAAACCATATCTTCATGCTCCTCTCAGTCACATCCACAGGACCTCATCTACACTATTCAGCCACCTCCATGGGACCACTGAAGGTCAAACTTACTCGGATTCCAGAAGACCTGGCTGCCCAGGACCCTTCACTATCATCCAGTCCTGAGCCAGATAAGCCAACCTAACTGTTTACTCCCTCATTCTCTCATGGGGTATTATGACACATTTCACACTACAGCACCCACTGATAGCCTAAGTCTTCTTATATTAGCACTCCTGGGACTTGTCCTTGGGATAGGATTGACCACAGTAGCTCCTCCCAACTATAATTTTACTTCCAGGTGTCTACTCACATTAGCCTATTACCTCATAATTCATTCTTAATTGTTAAAAACAATCATGGTTTCTTTCCTGTTCCCGTTTTCTTTCCTAAATCTCACCCAAGCCAATAGGCCCTCGGTGTGCACCTTGACTCAATCCCAGCCTAACTCAGCCCTCCTTCAGACCCAGGTCAGCTGCCTCTCTGCTCAAATCTCCCAACAGATGGTTCACCAGCTAATACTTCTTCAGGCTGGAGACCTAAACGAGACCACCTTGTTTACATGGCAGTCACTGACTAACCATTGCTCAGATCTCCGCTCAGTTTAAACATTTTCTAAATGATCTTTGGATTGATAGTCTTTGGTTTGCTCCCCACCCTTGTCCTATTACCTACATTGCCAACTGGGTCACTAACCCATGGCTCCAAGAAAGTTTAATCGGACTTCAGCTGGACTGAAGTCATAATCTTTACCTTTTTACTTGTTGTTAACCCTCCAACCCAGTCCACAGCCTCATACAAATTATCTTATACCCCTCTCTCCTCCCTCACTAACCAATTTGTGTGCTTGGACTCTCCTCAGGGAGCCCTACCAACCATTCCAGTGGAAATGCTACTACTGTCAACAATTCATAAAGGACAATGCAGCCGGCCATGCCCCATGCTTGCCCCCAGACAGCTTCTTCGCCCCCATGTCAGCAGGAAGTAGTTACAGAAGACAGACACACCACCCCTTTTCCCTGGCGTATGACATGGGCTGGGTGCTGTCTCCCTCTAAATCAAAGAGGGGGGAATGTTAGGGACCTGACACTGCCATCACAGGCTGCATTTTCCTGGTGCCTCCTGGCTCTTAAAGACCTCATGCTCTTATCTTTTGTTTTCTTTCCCCGCAAGGCCACAGCAGTCCAGAGAGGTTAAACCTGTTTCTGCAGGACCAAACCCATAAAGGGCAACCTGGCTTGTGATAGGTTAAAGGTAGCCCACTCCTCATAAATAAGCAATAGCCCAGCCCAAAACCAATAAAAGGATCTTCCTTTTTCGTTCTTCTCTTCTTCCCTCTCTCCTCTCCCTAACCTGCCTTCCCTAATAAAATCTCCTGTCCGACCTCTCGGTGTATGGCCTAGTTGTTGAGCATCATTGCTGTGCCTTTACAGTGAACCTTATAGAGATTTCAATGATAACAGCCAGCTGCAGCACTATGCCATAGGTTCACCACCACTGCTATAAATAATTAGCCCTAACTCCCAATTAACTGTTTTTATGAATGATGATATTAACAAACTAGGTATAAAACGTTCTTTTCTAACTGGTATCCCTGGCCAGGGATTTAGCTCAGTGGTTCCACCACCTGCCTCACAAGCACAAGGACCTGAGTTTGATCCCCAGTACTAAAAAAAAAAAAAGTATAATTTTGACTTTTTCCAAAATAGGTCACACACAATAGTTAATTTTTATAACGCTGTTACTTTCAATTAGATAAAAATTTAATTATTACCTTCAGGCAGTAGCTCAAGTTTAAATTCCAGGCCTCAAGCATTCTACTACCCTAGAAATGCCTTTTGTTTTCACTGAAGTTCTTCCTTTCAGGGTCACTAAATCGTAGTAAGTATATCTTCATTTACTGGGAAGCTATAACTGTGTCTTCACAGTAGCATTTTCTCTGTAATGAGAAGGTATTCAATGTATATTTTTTCTTTTTACACACAAATAAAACTAATAGATTTCATTACACAGATTTAGTTTTTAAAAACAGCCATTACCTGCCTCATATGGTAGAACCACCAATCACTCAGTTGAGGAGACCTAAAGACTAAGGCTAACTATACATGTAAGTGCAGGTGTCTTGGGATAGTTTCTTAACTTCTCTGTGCCAGATTCCTTATCTAAAATTAGGGATTTGCACTATGGTTTTCATTCAATAGTCACGCTTTATAACTACTACTGAAACAAAGATTTCTGTAGCAATTTAACATTTCTTTCTCAGTGAAAATATTTACTAATAGAAAATCTTTTGGAGTACAAAAAAACTTGAAAATAAATGGTCCTTTTTCTATTCACCCTACTGCTCCTATCCTAAAACATATTTATTTATTTATTTTTTGTCGTACTTAGGGTGAAACTCATGGTTTTTTATATATATAGATAGATATATCTATCTATCTATCTATCTATATATATATGCGCTAGGTAAGCAGTCTACCACTGAGGTGTATCTCTAGCCCAACAAATTTATTTCTTAAGCAAGAATTATTCATATCAGGTAAAGAAGTACAAAGTCAAAACATTTCACAATTAGTAAGGCAATCAATGTTTTTCACAAATTGCTTTCTAGAATGTTTCATATACTACAAAAGTAAATTTTATATTTAAAAGATTAGGAAGAAACTGTAAAATTAGTGCTTCAGTGTTTTTACTTATAGGAAGAAAGGCCTTTTTGCTGTTTACACAGTGAATGTATGCCAGAGAGGAAGAGACTGGAGGCTTTAGTCACTCAGTTCACTGTAAAGTATCATACTTGGGATAGTGCTGTTTTTATTTTATTCAACAGCAGTTCTATTTGTTTAAAACTTTAGAGGTAATTTTTCAGGTGTAACTTCTAAAAACCTTCACATTGGATTACGTTGCTGAATTTCCCCCATAGACTCCTCTGTTATTAAACTTATCTGTTGCCCTTTCCTGTGGTGATAACCTCCCCACAAGAACATGCCTCTCAAAAAATATCTCCTTCATCCCTCTCTGGAGGAGAAGAAGAAGCACAAGAAGTACCCTGTGCAGAGCCCCAATTCTTATTTCACAGATGTCAAGTGCCCAAGACGCTATAAAATCACCACCATCTTTAGCCATGCACAGTTGGTATTTTGTGCATTGACTGCTCCATTGTCCTCTGCCAACCTACGGAGGAAAAGCAAAGCTTACAGAAGAATGTTCCTTCAGGAGGAAGCAGCACTAACAGTACCCTAAATCAAGATGAATGGGAACCATCCCAATAAATATATTTTGGATAAAGATAAATAAATAAATTTATCTGTTGTTGGTAAGATAGTAAACACCTGTAATCAGAGTTACTCCTGAGAATGCTGCAAGTTCAAAGCCAGCAGGGGCTACATAGTCAGGTCAAGCAAGGCCAGCCTGAGTTATACAGCAAGACCCTATCTCAAAAAAATCTGTTAAAATGAATGACCTGAGGATAAATCCTCTAACAGGACTGTTTAAGGATGAAGTCACTTGAGCTTAGATTTGGTTTCTTTCCATTCCAAGTATTTTAAAAATTTTGAAATCTATTCATTGTCAGTGTCAGATTTTATTAGAAGCTGTAAGGTAAACAGTATAATGTTTCTTTTATAATATAAAACTACTATGGATCACTGATGTCTAAATTAAGACTACTAAATTCACAAATACTTTAATAGGATTACTTTTTTTTTTTAGGTACTGGGTATCGAACTTAGGGCCTTGCGCTTTTCAGGTAGGTGCTGCACTCCTGAGCCCCTGACCCTAATAGGATTACTTTTGTTTTTTTGGTACCAGGGCTCAAAGTCAGGTCCTTGAGAGGCAGGTGGCAGAACCAGTGAGCTAAATCCCTGGGGCCCTAGGATCACTTCTTCAAGGATTCTGGTAGTTATGTGTTAAATCAACATCAAGATTTTAAATGTATGCATATATTATATATATTTTTTTTTCTGGATTTTTGTTGTTATTTTGTTGTTGTTTGTAGGTACCACATATGCTAGGCAACTGGGTACTGCTATGGTATGCTCCCAGCCCTTTTTGTTTTCAGTTAAAAAAATAAATCTTTGGCTAGAGTTCATAATGTCTCTTTTCTCTTATTAAAGGTTTGCCCTCCCTAAAATCTTTTCCATAATCTTGGTTTCTGTCCACTTCTTAGCACGAACATGCCCCTTTGCTTCTGAGAGCTTATGACTCTGAGGTAGTTTATTATATTTATAGATAAGACAACCAAAGATGTGAAGTACAGTAGTACACCCAACTACTATCCTTGGGGGATATGTTTCAAGACTCCCAGTGGATGCCTAAAACCATGACTGAACAGATCCTTATATATGTATTGTTTTTTTTTCCTATACATACATAGCAATAAAATGTTTAATTTATAAATTGGCAGAGTAAGAGATTAAAAATAGAGCAACTATAATAATATACTATAATAAAGCTATGTGAATGTTTTCTCTCTCTCTCTCTCTCTCTCTCTATATATATATATATATATATATATGTATACATATATAGAGTTTGTTTTTGTTGTTTGAGGCAGGGTCTCCCTTTGTAGCTCAGGCTGGCTCTGAACTATGCAGCCCAAGCTGGCCTTGAACTCTTGGCAATCCTCCTGCTTCAGCCTCCTAAATGCTGGGATAATAGGTGTCCACCATCATGCCCAGCTTATTTTACTATATTGTAGATCTTAAGCTTCAGCATACAACTCTTTCCTTATTAAATTAAGATCTTTTAGCTTTATGGAAGTACTTTCAGATTCTCTTTGGCATATTTGAATTGCCAGCACCACTACTCTTGCAGTTACTTGAACACAAGCACTTGTGATACTGGTCTGATAATTGAGAAGGCTACCAAGTGATGGGTTGGTAGGGTATACAGAGGATACACTCCCTGGACAGAGGGATGACCCACACCCCAAGCAGGGCAGAGGGAGACATGCTATTCAGAACAGCATGCAATTAAAAACTCTTGAAATGTTCATTTCTGAATTTTCTGACCACAGTTAATTGTAAATGAGAAAAGCAAACCCTTGTGGGGAGGGGCTCTAGTGTAAGTTATGATCGTAGTATTACATTCAGATTAAAAACCAAGTAGGGGGAAAAATGAGGACTCTAAAGCCCAAACAATCTTTATGCCATAACACACTATGCCAATATGAACAGGAAAAAAAAAACTATGAGAAACTTATATTCCAAGGTATGGTTCTCCACATAACAATGGGTCTTCATGAGGACCACAGTACATAAATCCCATAGGAAATTATTAACAACCAACAGCTTGCAGTTAATGTTCAAACTAAAGAAAAGCACTCCAAGTGAAAGAATTATCTATCCTGGTTACTGCTGTGAGGCAACACCAGACATGACACATAAGTCACTGTTAAAAAAAAAAAAAAATTCTGGGTATTGTATTGTTATTTTGGAACATTTACTTTTCCTTAACTAAAGGTCTTAATCAAATGAAGTGTATTTTACTGAGTGCAAGATTTCTGCCTTGCAAATTGAAAGCCCTATTTGTTTAAGAATACACTGTATTGAGGTTCCACATCTTCTTGACATTTTTCTAATAAAAACTGTGTTGACTGTCAGATACTGCATTCTTAATTTGATAAACTTCAAATTAATGAGTTAAAATGTATTAACCTGCTCACTGCATATTTTCAAAAGATCTTTTAGCCAACGATATGTATAATAAATATGGATTCAACAGCAACCCTTCAATTAAGAAAGTATTTCAATTGTCAGATTCCCCAACTTATTCAATAAGTAAACATTCACCATTGCAATGATTCACATTTAAATAGCCACACCTCTGTATTAGCAAGCCCAATCCTAACCAGTGATTTTTTTGGAACTTCAGCCTATGGGTTTTCCCATTTTATTCCTCCACCCATGTGACTATCTCCTTTATTTGGTTCACCTTGGCAATGCTTCTAGTTAAATCTGAATAAGTAACTATTATGATGGTAAAAATATTAACATTTACTGAATGCTTATGTAGCATTTAATTCTCAAAGTTGACTAAAGCGTGGCAGATTCGTTAAATAGTAGATGCAAAGTCACATCTAATTTTTTATAGCTGATTTAGATAACCATCTACTTACACTACATCTTTAAGCAAGGCAAAAAAAGGAGAACTTCAGTCTTCACCTGCACCCATACTGTTCTGCCCACAAATTTTGCAATCCAGTTCTGCTTGATTCTAAACTGCTGTCTCTTGGAGGACACCCCCCCACACCTTCAGTTTTTTCCTGTAGAAGGCCTTAAAAAGTGACACTGCGATCTGTAGCATATTATCTCCATCCATCCTCCCTCAGAAAAACAACTGCATTAAAACAGAGAAATTATGGGGACCACCGAGGGCAAGACAGGCCTCTGATTAATTTCAAGACCAAAAAAAAAAAAATTTTTTTTTTAAAGCACGGGAGCAGGCACGGGAGGACGCTTTTCCTCTTCCAAGTATTAAAGTATGGAAGCACTCAGCAACAGGGGGCTGAAAAGCGGGGCGCGCCCGCCCAAGGGCTTGGGTCCTGCTCCGTAGAAGCAGCGCATTGTCGGGCTCAGCACCCTTCTAGGTCACTTAGCCTCCTCTACAACTTGCCTCCCCGGAGCCAAGGAGCCCGACCCGGCCAAGGGGGCGCGCAGCGAAGGCCCCGCGACCCGGGGAGGGAGTGGCAGGCAGCTCCTACAGCGAGGGGCAGGAGGTGACTGAGAGGGCTGAAGGAGAGGGGGTTGGGAGCTAGCGTCCGGTGGGCCGGCGAACACAGCTCTGCCAACCTCCGCCTCCCCCAGCCCTGTCGCCGTGGAGAGCCCCACAAGGCGAGGAGGGAAGTCCGCCGGAGCAGAGGGGAGAAAATTCAAAACGAGTCTACTCAACCTCGTCTTGGCTCCGAGGCCCCGCCATGGAGACCAGCACAATGCGCAGGCGCAGCTCTCTCAGAGGTTCAGCGCAGTCCCTTGAGGTAAGACCCCTACCAGCCACCGTCTCTCGTTTTCCTTTCGATTCTGATGCTTTTCGTATTTCCGCCCCTGCTCTTCGGGAATCTAAAACCTGGAACTAGAGGTGAGAATCTGGGAATGGGGCGGAATCTTGTCTGAGTCAGGTTCGGGTTGGGAATAGCCATAATAAGGGAAATCGGGCAAGGCTTTACTCAGTGAAGGCGGAAGACAGATGAAATTTAATAAAGAGCTGGCTGAGGATTTAATGCAGAGTTGAGGATTTGAATGCGCGTAGCAAAAAAAGACTGCAATTCCCAGTGGTGATAGCGTTTGAGACGTGCTGCTTTCTGGACGTTGTAGTATCCAGGAGCTGCAGTTGAAGCCGACTCTCCATCGATCATATTTTTATTTATTTTAAACCGATTTGAGTTGGGCCTTTCTGTATCTTCCTAATCGATCCCTGGCCTAACGTATGGAAGAAATCTAAACGAGAAAAAGAGGATACGCTCCTTGCAAGACTGCTCTGCTCATCGATGATTCCTGATCTAGGAATAGGTGGTTGATGTTCACGGCCTAGCCCGAGTGGCAGGCAGCCTCGTGGTACCTCTGCTCGGAGACCCAGCCTGGGAAGCCAGATTCGCCTGCAGCTCTTGTTTACCTGTGGATACTAATCTTGAGCTATCTCTTTTTGTAGCGTACAGGGACAAGAACTCCCTTTTTCTGAGTACTTAGACGTTTTGGGGGGCGAGGCTTGCTTGTACTGCCCGCCATGGCTCAACTCCAGACACGCTTCTACACGGACAACAAGAAGTAAGTGAGCGACCCAGCCTTCTCTCTTCTTTCCCCTCCCTGGGATCTTACCGGGGGGCGTGGGGAGCTCTGTTGTGACCTAGTGGTTCCCTGGTTATCTTTGCTGTCAGCTTCGTACCCTCGCCCCATTTATGGCTGACTCCTCTCGAGCCCTCCTCACCTGCTGTTTTCAGCGGTGCATTGGGAGGGCTTCTGGGGGACCTCTCGCCCGTACACCGACATCACCTCTTTTCTGCCCATCTTCCTGGGCACCATATAATTAGAATTGTGTGTGAAGAAAACTTAAAGAGATTTGAGTTTGCTTTCTGAATGATCCCTACTATGAGAGCAGTATGAACAGTGAACAGTCAATACAGACCATGTCTTACAGGCCGGTATGCTAGTGGTAGTATACATGGTTCCTGAAAGCATAGCTTCGTTTTCTTAAGTAGGTGATAGAAGATGCTTTTCTCAACCAGGCTAGCAAATGGATCTCTAAATAGACGTTTGATGGGACTGGATTGAAAACTTGAAGTCAGTTCAGTTACAAATTTGAGTGTGTATGTGTGTGCTAAAATTTAAGATAATTGACAATTCCCCTGAAGTTGGAAAAAATAATATATCACTGTTTTTTGTTGTTGTTGTTTTGTACCGGGGATCAAACTCAGGTTCTTGCACTTGTGAAGCAGGCAGTGGGATATATCACTGTATTTTAATCCCATAAATAAAAGGATAAATGTGTGTGTGTGTGTGTGTGTGTGTGTGTGTCTGTGTGTGTTTAGGTTCTCCAAAAGAAACAAGGCTTAGAAATAAGTTTCTTGCTTCTTTTCAATTAATGTTTTGATTAGTAAAATGGGGGGATATTATACACAAACATGTATATAATTGACATATACTGTGGTGGTGGTGTGTGTATGTGAAAGAGAGCTTCTCTACTTTCCCCCTCACATTTTATTAGCCAAAGTATTAAGTAAAAAAAAAAAAAAAAAAAGGCAAAATTTTAATTTCTAGGTTTTATTGAGTTTTGGAGAACTAAAATAACTGCTTACTTTTGGATGGCATGAAAAATATACAGACATTATTATTCAAAGTGTTATTTTGAGAACCAGCAGCATTATATTAGCAGCTTTGCAACCATCACCATAGTCAACTTTAAAACATTTTTCATCGCCCTTTAGGGCTCTCCATCCATTTAATAACCCAGCCCTAGGCAATCACTGATTATCTGTCTCTGTAGATGTGTCTATTCTGGACATTTTGTATTAATTAAATTATATATGGCCTTTTTTACTTCTTTCACTAACTAATATATTTTCATGGTTCATCCATGCAGTAGTTTTGCTTAGTACTTGATTCTTTATGGCAAATAATATTCCATTGTGTGGCTATACTGCATTTTCCTATTGGTGTCCAATTATTAGACATTTAGGTTATTTCTTCCCTTTTAGCCATTATGAATAGATACTATGTGAATATTAGTGTACAAGTTTTTGTGTGAACATGTTTTCATTTCTCTTTGTCACATACCTAAAAGATCTTCCTGGGTCAGATGGTATTATCTGTAATTTTTATTATAGACACCGTAGTGGGTGTGAAGTGATCTTTCATTGTGGTTTGATTTGCCTACCATTGTTGACTTAATGATGAGCATCTTACATGCCTGTTGGCCATTTTTGCTTCTTCAAATCCTTGCCCATTTAAAAAATTTGATTTTTTTATTACTAAATTGCTTCCTATTGTTGATACAAGTTCCTTATCAAATGTATGATTTGCAAATATTTTCTCACATTCTCTGATTCTCCTAATCTGCCTCCTGTGTTCCTCTAATAGGCTCCATTGCACAACCAAACAAACTTTTGATTATGTTGTTCCTTAACTTGTATTGCTTGTCTACAGAAAGAAGTAAAAACTATTTCACACATCACAGTACATAAACTGCTCTCTGCAGATCTCTTTAGCCTCAGCTTTGATCACTGCCTAAAGTAAAAACTGTACTTTCTGAAATAGCTATTGTTTTGCTGTTCTCCCTGCTTTCTCACACCCTCTTTTCCTATCTAACTCTCAATCTTTTTGCTGAGTATGGTGGTACATGCCTGTAATCCCAGCACTTGGGAGGCTGAGGTGGGAGGATTGCTGTGAGTTCAAGGCCAGCCTGGGCTATATTGTGAGTTCAAGGCCAGCCTAAAATAAAATACATAGTGAGATCCTGTTTCAAAAGAAAAAAAATATGACCCTGTCACTTCTTCTCTCACTGTATATACATATCATTTATGACATTATTTTTACATAGCTTCATTGCATTTGAAGAGACACTTCTTAACTCACTTTGTTTTTACTCCATGTAGCAAAATATCTGATGTGGTTAGTACCCAATGAATGTTAGGTGAATGAATAAATGCACACTTGTTAAAATATCTTTAGATTTGATCTTGACATATTTTCTTCTTATAGATATGCAGTAGATGATGTTCCCTTCTCAATCCCTGCCAGCTCTGAAATTGCTGACCTTAGTAACATCATCAATAAATTACTGGAGGCCAAAAATGGTGGGTATATATGTTCTGAGACATTATAAGAAGGCACAGTACCACAAACCACACTAAAATACATGTTTTGCACTCAAAATATGAGTTTCATATCAGTGAAATTTATAAATTATAACAGATACTCTGAAAGAGGTGTTTAGAAAAAAAATTTATTTAACCTGCTTTTTTTGGGGGGGCGGTTCTGGGGAACAAACTCAGGTACTTGTGCTTGCAAGGCAGGGGGTGAAACCACTGAGCTAAATCCCTGGCCCTTAACCTGCTTTTCAAGTCATTATGTGGCTAAAGAGGTTGTAATTTAGGAAAAAAGATTTTAGTATACTAATTGTGATATTAGTAGTAATATAGATACTGTGATTGTGCCATGAAAGGCTGGTCATATAGGCATAAGACAGGCATGTTAGTGCTTAGTCGCTACTTGTTAGTGAAGCAGGAGGCAAAATGTAAGTGTCTGAATTTAAATGTTATTTTATGTAATAATGAAATGCTAGTGTTGATACTGATATTTGATTTCTTATTTCAGAATTCATTAATGGATATAGCAAAAAATTATAAACAAAACAATATCAAGTAAAAAATTATTAAGCATATATATGTCCTATTATGTACTAATTTAGGCTCTGCTTATAAATATGAACAGTGTACATAAAAATACAGATGAAGAGTATTCATAAGTTGATATAGTTGAAGTTGGATAGCTACATGAAAGTTTGTGTTTGACTGTTTGAAATTTTTTATAATAAAGTTTTTTAGAAACAAGCATAAAATAGAAAAATTTTAAACGTAAAAAATCAAAATAAAATAAAATGTGACCTCTGAAAACAAAATTTGTTTGAGATGATGTTTTTGAACTTTTTTTCTCTTGGTTTTTTAGAAACAAAGTCTTGCTGTATCGTTTAGGCAGGCCTTGAACTCAGAACAATCCTCCTGCCTCAGCCTCTAAGTTGCTAGCATTACAGGCATGCACCCCACCTGGGGAACATTTTTTCTTTATTTTATTTTTGTGGGATGAGGAGTCCTCAGGGACTATAATTTTTAGCTAGCAAGTTGCAGTCCACCCCACCCCCCAAACTGGGGATTGAACTCGGGACCTTGAGCTTACAAGGCAGGTGCAGTGCCACTGAGTTAAATCCCTGGCCCCAAGTTGCAGTTCTTTTTTTTTTTTTTGGTACCAGTGACTGAAAATGGGACATGCTTGCGAGGCAGGCAGCAAAACCACTGAGCTAAATCCCCAGCCCTGCAGTTCTTGATTCAAAAATAATCACTGAACATTTGCAATTGGTCTTTGTCTCTACTTTCATTGTAAACGTAGAGATAGCTGATGCAAAATTGCTTTTATCAATTTTTCTGAATTTATAGATTAAATATTTGTCATTTTGTGTAAAGAACTGAGGCATGCGAGGCAGGCAGCAAAACCACTGAGCTAAATCCCCAGCCCTGCAGTTCTTGATTCAAAAATAATCACTGAACATTTGCAATTGGTCTTTGTCTTTACTTTCATTGTAAACGTAGAGATAGCTGATGCAAAATTGCTTTTATCAATTTTTCTGAATTTATAGATTAAATATTTGTCATTTTGTGTAAAGAACTGAGGCATATACTTGAGTTAAAGATGCACTTTATTCAGACTTGAGATTTTTTTTTAATGTTTTTTTTGGGGGGGGTACTGGGGATTGAACTCAGGTGCTTGATTGAGGTTTTGGTTTTTTTTTTTTTAACCAAATAATTGTTGGGATTCTTTTAGGAGTATAGCTAATAAATGTAGAAGGAATAATAAAATTAGACTACTACATTACCATTTGCCAACTCCAAGTCAGTGAATATAAATAGTAATTATTAAAAGCTGCTACAATCGTTAAACAGATTAATGGGTGATAGGTATCATAGTAGATGGGATCAGTCTGACATTGAGCACAAAGGTAGGTCTTAACGTTTTATTTATTTATTTATTATTTTGAGAAGGGTCTCACTAAAATGCAAGTTAAACAGGCAGGGCACAAATTTATAATCCTCCTTACTTGGTGTCCCAGAATGTTGGGATTATGTGCATATGCCTACAAGCATGGATCTTAAATGTTTTGAAAAGGCACAGTTAGATACATGCATCCTGATATACAAAATACAGAGTTGCCTGTAAAGTTTCTTGCCCAAAAAAATGAAATCTGACATCTTATTAAGCATTAATGTGACTAGTTTATAGGACGTATAAGTAATAAGGAACATGTTAAAAGACACCATGGAAGCTTGGTGAAATGGCACATGCTTTTAATCACAATACTCTAGAAGGCTGAGGCAGGAAGATTGCGAGCCTAGCCTGGGCAATTTAGTGATTTAGTGAGACTTTGTCTCAAAAAAGGGGATTGGGGCTAGCTCAATGCAAAGACCTTAAGTTCAATTCTGAGTACTACTCCCCCCCAAAGAAAACAGGCTGGAAATGTGGCTACCCAAGTCCAAAGTGTAAGAAAAATTACAAGCCATATGACCCACTTTCTTCAAAAATACATGGCAAGAAAAAAAAGGAGGACTATTAATGATTAAAAGAAACATATTAATCAAATACAATGTGTGGACTTTGGGTGGTAATTTTTAGAAGCCTGCTCTAAAACAAATGAAATATAACTGGGTATTTGATATTAGAAAAATTTTTTTAATTTTCTAACGTTGTGACTTTTTTTTTTTTTTTTGGTACCAGGGATCAAAC